TGCTATCAACAACTCAAAAAAAGCCACTGGTCATTTTTTGTCCCCCGCCTTTTGAAGAAAGCAGGGGACTATTAAAATGGGTTCGTCCGTCTGTCTGTCTGTCCGTCACACTTTTTGCGACACAATAACTCTCCTTCTAATTGACCTAGAAAGTTCAAACTTGGTGTAGGTGTTTATTAAGTCAATGCCTTAATGGAGTTCGAAGATGAGCATTTTCTGCTTAGGGTAAGCAGAGATAAGCAATTTGATTGGTTGATGCTTTGGGACACGATAACTTTAGTTCTAATTAAGTGAGAGTGATAAAACTTGGTGTATAGTTTCATTACATCAATACCTTGACTAAGTTCGATAATGAGCACTTTCTGCTCGGGGTAAACAGAGCGATAAGCAATTTGATTGGCCGAGACTTTGGAACACAATAACCCTCCTAATTGAGCTAAAATGTTCAAACTTGGTGTAGGTGTTTATTAGTTCAATGCCTTGATGGAGTGTGAAGATGAACATTTTCTGCTTAGGGTAAGTAGAGATAAACAATTTGATTGGTTGATGCTTTGGGGCACGATAACTTTAGTTCCAATTAAGTGAGAGTGATGAAACTCGGTGTATAGTTTCATTACATCAATACCGTAACTAAGTTCGAGATTGAGCATTTTCTGCTCAGGGTAAGCAGAGCGATAAGCAATTTGATTGGCCGAGACTTTAGAACACAATTACTCTTATTCTAATAGAGGAAGAATGTTCACACTTGGCGTAGGTGTTTATTAGTTGAATGCCTTGATGGAGTTCGAAGATGAGAATTGTCTGCTTAGGGCAAGCAGAGATAAGCAATTTGATTGGTTGATCCTTTGGGACACGATAACTTTAGTTCTAATTAAGTGAGAGTGAGAACACTTGGTGTATAGTTTTATATTATTGCCTTGACTAATTTCGATGAAGAGAATTTTCTGCTTAGGCTAAGGAGCGATAAGCAATTTGATCGGTCAAGACTTTGGAACATAACAGCTCTGCTATTAAATGAGGTAGAATGTTTAAACTTGATGTAGATGTTCATTAGGTGAATGTCTTGACTTAGTTCAATGATTAACATTTCGAGCTAAAGCTAAGCAGAGCTTAACAATGCTTTAGGACAAGATAACTTTGATTCTATCTGATAGAGGGCGATGGAACTTAGTGTATAGTTGATAACAATTTGATTGCTTGATACGTTTGAAAAAAATAAATGTGCGATAAATTAAAATGTGTCATCTATTATTTTGGGATTTCGGCGGGGGACATCAGCCTCATTGTTGGCATTTTCGTTTGATCCGTCAGGAAGAAACCAGTGAAGTTTAAAAAATTTAGACTCGTAAATTTCAAACAGGTTTTGTGTTGATCTTGCGCTTGGCAATTTAACTATTACATTAAAATTTCATTATTCATAAGGAAGAACCGCATCAAAGTCCATAATCTTTCGAAATTTCACCCATATTTACAGTCAAAATAATGGACATAATTCCAGATGAAAGGTTAAAAATAAGGTATGTTTTTCATTTCGGAATGAGTAAGAAACTGACGGTTATTGTATCCCACATATAAAGATAATATGGGTCATTTCTGGAATAACTTATAGCCCAATTGTACTTCAGTAATTTGCTGTTCACCATGATTTGTGTTTATATTTGTGTATATCATAGTTTGTATTTTATACTTGTATTATATCTAACCCGTCAGTATAGCTCCTTGTAGCGTGCACGTTTTATTCCCCTTGTAATAATCAAGACTCAAATGATTCACGGTTTCTTACTTTCCGCGTGTTGGACTAATGTAGGAACCCTACATTATACTGTAATTTCTACAATTGTTGCTTTTCCTACACGGTACATGATTCCCCCTTTTTTTTAGTTTAGGGAAAGGCTACTCGTTTTCTTTACAGACAAGCTCAGTAATACCTTGGCATGATGAAGCTGAGGTTAAGGGAAGCAACTCGTATCACATGGAATAGCAATAGGCGCCATCCTCATTAGTACGTACGTTTAATACACAAGGGGATTTCCATATTTACCTAATCCATCAAAATTAAGGCAGGTATTAATTGAACATTCACCCCCCTTTTTTCCCCCCCAAGATTCGAAATTAGGACAGAAGAGGACGTACAGTCAGAAGTTTTTATGAATAGCTTAGAGGGCATCTTCTACCGTGTCTATAATGGTGATGTTTGATTAGTTTCATTATCGTATAATCCGTTTTTAACCTTCACGCATTACCAAGTAGATTTTTTCATTTAAAGAGTTTAATCTTCTACGTTATAAAGTGAAGTACCAGTGATCAGATTTGAGATATTCGCAGAGATTGAATTTAAAAACTTGTCCGTGAGAGCACCATGCAGGGTCATCCACTATATCCCCAGTGGCCTCATTCCGTTCTCCTCCAATATGCCCTGGGTTCATGCACGGGGTATTCACGTATTCAAATCACCTGCCCTTGATCGCAGCTGGAGTCTGCGAAGCAATCAAATACCAGTTTACAAACCGGTCTTAGTCTCATTGTTTACGTTCACAACGATATGCCGAGATCGACCTGACACACTATAAGAGCCAGCACATAAGAATTTTTCTACATGATAAGCAGAAATCAAGCTGACATGCTATGGCTAATCCTAGCCTTTGACAAACAAGATAAATTGAAAGTAACTGGAATTTCGTATTAAGGCCCGGCTCTCTCTCTTAAATAGAGTTTATAGTAGGCCTAATTAATTTTGGTAATTTTAAAACAAAAAGTATATATGCGTTGTGCTCAACAAAGAATGAATTTACCGAAGAGGGGGGTATTGGATAAAGCCGCGCATTTTTACCACCAAACCTTTCAAGCCGCGCATTTTTACCACCAAACCTTTCAAGTAATTTCCTTTAGGACAGAAAAATTCTCGTTTTGTCGAAATAAATGGGTCTTTGATGTCACTGTCGTCCAGCGAATTTGTTATAGCGTGCCAGCTTGATTTCTGCTTATAATGTGCTGATTACCTTTATAGTGTGCTGGATGAACGAAGGCGTTAGTTGAGTGGAACCGAGGATGTACAGGGAGTGATAACCCATGGGTCAGAGATTTGACACAATTGTTTTTGTGATGTGGTTAAGTACCCAGCTACATACCCACAAAATACTTGATTGATGCAGGTTATACACAGGAAATAAGAAACATATATTTTTAACGGAAAAAATAGGTCGAACATTGACATTATTGGGGCCAAATTTGGATAACATTTTGCACTAAAATTATATTATCCGGACAAATAAATTTTTGGTCATTAGTAGGACCACATGGCGACAATATATATCGGTGAATATCGTCTCACTGTTGCACATGGCATTCCTATAGTTAAAATCAATGTCGTTTACTCGAGGTGCCAGAGTAAGTACATTGGTACCATCCACTATATCATCGTCATTCACGTGTGGAAACACAGCTAGTGCGAAAGTGATATATTCGTCGATCCTTTTCATCTACGGACCTGTATCACGGTGCACAAACTATCAAGCTGTGCTTTTGTCGTGGATTCCAAGAATATGTGCAATCACTTGCTGGAAAATACAGCAAGGATTAAACCGTAACGCCATAAATACTTGCAGCAATGACGGAATAACATGGGTTTTCTCATTTCTTCGATAAACAGTGATAAACAGAATTTCTTCTGAATCAAAACGATACCTTTCAAAAGTCAATGCCTCAAATCAGTGGCGTGTAGAGATTTGGTGATGCCCGGAGTGATGACTCGATCTTAGGGCCTTGTACCGACAAATGTGAGCAACGAAGACATTTTAAATATTTAAAACAGATCAAAATTGGATTTAAATTAAAGTACAGCAATGTTAACAGCGTTAATTTTAGAAAAACGAAATTTTAATTTCACTCGTTGACTGCTAAAATAATATGATAAACCTGTACACCAATCCAAAATAAACTGACATTACCGGTCCTATTTATTTTACAAATGACCTCATGTATTATAGCCCTGAAAGCCCAAAATCCTCGAGCTGATTATCAGGAATACATGCATTTGTCACTGATGTTCCTAGGTGAAGTGAAATGGATAAGAGGTCATTCCGAGCTCCTAGTCCAACTCATCATGTCCGTAGATGGCGAGGGCTATCTACAGTACTGGCCAATTTCTAAGAACGTTGCAGAATTAACTCACTAAAATTAAAGTATGGATAAAATCATGCACCGTGAATATATTGAACTGAATATTCATACACATAACCATATTGGCATCCACTTCACATTGCATGGTTTGGTCGAAGTAACTGATGACGTCATCGATGTCCGTCATGTTTTTATGCCGTTTCTCTAATAGAGAGAGAGATGGGGCTTAACGTCCCACTCGACACAAACTAGATCATTTCGGGACTAACATGGTTCAATTTTATTTCAATAATTCGCTTACGCGTGTAGGGGTCATTAGCAGTGGGAGGAAACCGGAGGACCCGAAGAAAAACGGCGAGGTTGGACAGTCTACCCTACTCCTTGTCAAGTACAATGGGTAATCGAAACCACGCCAGTTGACTCAATGACAGACCTTATGATACAACGCCAACGAGCTAACCATCCCCCACCCTTTTCTCTAATACATCAGTTACGTTTTGGGGATAATTACAGAACCTGGGGACAGTTTCACAAAGCAACTTACGATAAAAATATCCGCAAGTTTATCGTAACGTAAACTTGCGCAAGAATCGCGTTTCAATTGTCGTGTAATTGTAGATGAAACCCTCTCGACACCCATACGGACGAGGAGTTAGTTTGGCGGTACAGACTTGATCGGAACCAGTAATATTACATGTTATTAACTGTATTAATGATGATATCGAAACCACAACTTCCCGATCGAAATCCTTGTCATAACCTGTACAAGTCTGATTGCATTACGATATTATGCAACAGGTAGCTTCCTAAACATTATTGCTGGTGCACATGTGGTTAGTGTACCATCGGTGTCTAGAGTAATTTATCGTGTTTTACGAGCAATGACAATCCGTGTTGACGATAAATTAACAATAAATTTCCCCTATTCAATGGAAGATATCAGTTCTACAAAGGAAGGTTTTCACCAAATAGCAGGCTTCCAAAATGTAGTGGGAACGATTGATGGTACACAAGTTGCCATCATAGCACCATCGGGAGAAACTGAGCCGCTGTTCGTCTGCACGAAAGGGTTTCATTCCATTAATGTTCAGGCAATAGCCGATTCTAAAGTCAGATAAACGTACGATTTATCGTCTTGTTTTAATTGTAAGCTTCAACATGGCAGATTATTAAACCAACATTTGGGACAAGCGAGATTTCAAAACTACATGATTTATACCGATACCGAAAGAATAAAATTATAAATTTCAGATTTACAAGTGTCTTGGCCAAATTTCCGGGATCAGTCCACGACTCCTACATTTTGCAACACAGTGGAGTAACCAGGAAAATGCTAGAAGACCGAATGGCTGGCAGCCAGTCTGCTTTATTGGGCGATAGTGGGTACCCCTTAAAAACATGGCTTATGGTGCCATTTACGAACCCAAGTAGCAGAGCAGGGGATCGTTACAACAATGTCCATAAAAGGACATGATGCACTGTTGGGAGGGCGTTTGGAATGCTACAATCAATCTCGATTCAGGTGGCCGTTTTTTGTGTTTTTGTTAAATAAAAAAAAGAAAAGGAATACATTCATTGCCATTTATAAACGTCAGTCACAGGGGCGGATCCAAGACATTACATTTGCACTGAGGGAAGAAAATCCGTTTGTGGGTGTAGCTGTTGTGTGGGTGAATGGACACTGTTTAAGGCGCCGTGAAGGGTCGTTTATACTGCAGGGCACGAACGCCGCGGTCTCATTTGATTAATTAAGTGCTTTTTGAATGAAGTCGTTTTGGGGAATATTTCGCGCGAACGATCGGAGTATGGAGTCAAAAGCATACCCGAGATGATGTGTAGCCGGGCATGGTCAAATCATAAATGTGTCAGTTTCATCTACGAATTTCTGTGCGTACCGCCGCTTTTAGTACGAAAAGGCGCAGTGGTCGCGTTCGAGCTCAATATAAACGGTAATTAGGCGCCGACAATATTAAAGCTAATTAAAAGATATCATGAAATCACAGTTTGTACACGGGAAGGTATCTTTAAAACACCGATTGAATTAAAAAGGCTAGTTCAACTAGTTCTCCTTTTGACCCCAACCCCCATTATTAAATCCGTTGCCTAATACTTAATAAAATTAGCTTATACAATAATTATTTTGCTGATGTATTCATCACAAGTCTGGAGGATGTTTAATGTATGTGCCGCAGAAGTGTGTTAACATTATTTTTGCAGTGTGTACACTGCACAACCTGTGTAAACGAATGATCTCCCCCTTCCAGGGGTGGAACCTGATGATATCAAGGACCATAATCCTGTTAACCAAAACCCACATGTACAAAACGTTAATGCTGCCACTTTCCGCAATAATCTAGTTAGACAAAGATTTGAAATATTAAGCAAGCAAAGCAAAGTTCATTTTCATAAATAAGCTGAAAATCAGTAAAATTTTATAATGTGTAGTGGGATCGAATTGAACACTTGTGGTTTGCTAAATTAAGCCTTTCTTTCTCCACCTTTTGTCTTACTATGTTTATTTCCATATTTTCCTTTTCATCACCAATCTTTCATTCTCTGTTAGAGGTCGCACTCGTTCTATGGTTAATAATTATTCGTTGACCGATACTTTAGCACCGTTGTTTGGTATTTGGAGTGCATGCTTAGTTTGAGAATACAGAAGAAAGTCATAAGATGTACCTTTACTACTGATTTATCAATATATTACACAAAAGGGCTTAATCAATGCGTTCTTTATTACTCGCGACTATCAATATAATGACATGCACCTTTTGTTCCCTGTCGGTTATATCTGGCGAAGCATCGCCCTCGCCTGTCTTCCTCATCTCTTCCCTTCTGGAGCCTTCCTTCCTTTGCCCGCTACTGTAGTCGCTCCAGTTTTCTTTATCTCCTCAGTACCCTTCTTCCCCGAGGAAACGCTGTTCACTCTGTAAGTAATATTTACCAGTGTTTAGACTTCACAATTGATATGAAATTGCCTTTTATGGTCAGGGTCGGATTTACCTACTATAGTACCGGTATGCGTACAGGCTGAAGCATAGGGCCTCGTGGTCCTTCGGTTGTAAGCCAGCATTTACATTACAACATAGTATTTAATTTAATTTATCACAAACCGGAGCTCAGGAATATTTTTTAGTATAGGCTAGTTTTCATTAAACAAGACTATGGCTAACGGTATACTAACGTAGGGAAACACTCTCTTGAACCATTGAATAACCCGAGCAATATTCAATGGTCATTGAGTTCTATCTATTTCTTCGTACAAATATTCTCCCAAACTTTGTCTTTCGATGATTTGGTCAGGCGGCTGCTCAATGTTCTTTTTAGAATTCCATAGTTCTGTTCAACGCCCTCAATCAAAACGCCGAGGGCTGTAGGGTTCCGAGGGTTACGCTTTTTGGGCTCCATTTCGGCTTTTGACATAAAAAAAACATAATGGCTATAATGCCGACATTGTCAACATTCAGACTGAGAATGGTTACAGAAGTCTGGCCCCGAGTTCACAAAACATTCTCAGACTTTAGTTAAGAATTTACTCAACTTTCAATCACTGTTTATGAGAAATATTTTTGATCCAGAAACACAAAAATTTGCACATAGTTTCTTATTGGTGTATTTGCTACATTAAACAACAGAAGTTTTATAAAGGGCTATAATTTGGTTAAAATAAGAAGAACAATTTTGAGTAAATTCTTAACTTAAGTCTGAGAATGCTTCGTGAACTCGGGGCCTGAATGAAGTGACGCAACATGACGTCACGACCATTCGTGACGTATTTACGAAAAAAGCTCGGTTTCACAGTTCATATCTTTTTCGTAAGTTTTGGTAAGGTCGAATCGAACTACAGCTTTTAAAATGTTCAAAAATCGACGTAATTCAACTAATTATTCAATGCAGCGTCCATTTATTTCATCCGTCAGTCCATTCCATTAGTATAGTACTTCGTCTGACCGCCTTTAGCCTTCATGAGAGCTTCGCCCCGTCTTGGCATTGATCTGACCAAGAGTCAGGATTGTTGGAGAGTGGAACCACACCTTGATCAATCTGGCAATCAAATCCATTTTTTGGATGTTTGGTATCGTGTGAATTTCGTCTTTAGAGAATCTCCCATAAATTTTCGATTGGGTTTATATCGGTCGAGTTGCCAGGCCACTTCAGTACTTACATATACGGTTCTGTTGAAACCACAACATTGACCGCTTCTAAATGTGACACGGTGCCGAGTACTGAACCCGGTCGTCCAGAACTGCTAAAGAAGATTCGTCAGAGAAGATGCCGCGTTCCCAATCTTCAACTGTCGAGGTCTGGTGCGTCTGGGCCCAACGTAGGCGGGCTTTCTTCATTTCATTAGTAAAACGAGGCCTTTTCCTCGGACGGTAAGCCCGTAGTCCGGTATCTGGCAGGCGTCTATTGACAGTCCTTCGACTGGATTTCGAAGCCATCTTTGGCCAATAACGTGGACAACTTCCAGCACGCTGCTCGGCGGTGTTTCAACGATTTTGAAACAATTTTCCGATCTAACCTCGGCGTTGTAATCCGTTTCCTGCCGCATTTCCCACACGTCTACCATTCTGCAACTTCTTGACAACGCACACAAGAGCTGGGCCTTGTTTCTCGAAATCTTAACCAAAGATAAAATCCAAATGTTAGTAGATACTTCAATTTTGATTTGCTAAGCACTAAAATCAGTCTAATATCATCCAATCAAATTACTAAAATTTGGATTTTATCTTAGTTACAATTCCGTGAAACAGGCCCCTGATATTCAACTTTTCCGCTATTTTCTTCTGCCTTCAATCAGTATTTTTAGGAGCACAAGAAATCACACGTTTTCGGTATGACCGAAATGATTTTACGGCAAAATCAGAAAAGAAATGTGACGAATTTTTGTTGCTTTCGGGATCAGAAAAAAACCAGCCAGGGTATTGTTTCCATGTGACATCATAGATGTTTTGTTGTGTAATCGGTGCCTTTTCGGAACAACGGTGGATAAGTGGGCTAGACGCTGGCTCGCTAGCCTGGAGGTCGCGTGTTCGATCCCTGAATTGGCCGAGAAAGTTCATAGGGAATTTCCGGCGTGGTTTTCCCTTGTCAGGGGTGCAGACTAGAGGGTCTGAAAAAGACATCTGTCTAATCGTTTGTGTAGGACCAATGCATACATTGGCGTGCACGTAAAAGATCCCTTGCAGGATGGAGTTTCTGACAAAGACAGCTGTCTAATCGTTCGTGTGGGACGAAAAACCGAGGACCCATGCATACATTGGCGTGCACGTAAAAGATCCCTTGGCAGTTGGAATTTGATGTAAGAGTAGGCCATAGTGCCAGTGTCCCGGCAAAATTGCCCTCATAGGACACAGTATGGGTTATGTCCGTCTTCATTAGCCTAGTCGGAGCAGAACAGTAGGACGTTAAACCCCATTTCATTTCGATGCATTTTCAGTCATTTTCGGGACGCATAAAGCCCTGAAATCACTTTCTGCTCATGGTTGTAGACAAACTATCGTTCAACCAGCGGTTGCCAGGCAAGATACGCCCACATTTTGCAAAAGATGGATAGAGAACAACCTAAAAAAGGGCGATTTTTCGTACAACCAGAGGCCATAATCCAGGAAGTGATGGTCTGAAATGCGTGAATATTAATAGGGACTGAGATATTTGGGATATTAAGATATATTATAAATTTAATCAAAATCACATACAAATTGTGACTTCTAGGAGGTCCACAACCTTGATATTACTTACTTTTACACTATTTGCGTACAAGAAGCGGCCTTTTTTTGAGGCAGTTTCGGTCCTATTTTCACAAAATTCGAATTCAACCAGCATTAGAGTGTAACGGTGATATATTCGAACGTTTGTTTTAAATCGGATAACAATTGTGACCTCCAGAGGGTCCACAAGCTAAAAATGTGATTTTGTCGTACAACTAAGGGTCATAAACCAGGAAGTTACGGTCCGATATGCGCAAATATCGAAAGGAACCAAGATATTTGGATTATAATCAAACATTTCGAGTTTTGCAAAATCATATAAAAATTGTGACTGCTAGAGTGTCCACAACCTTGGCATTACATACTTTTACACTATTTGGGTACAAGGAGCGGCCATTTGGTCCGGCAGTTTGGGTCAGATTTTACGAAATTCAAACTCAACCTTTATTGATGTGTAACGGTGATATATTTTTTTTTAAATTAGATAAAACAAAATGTGACCTCTTGACTGACCACAAGCTAAAAACGTGATTTTTCGTAAAATCAAGGGCCATAATTCAGGATGTTATGATCCGACAGTAACCAAAATCTTTGGGTTAATTCAAGTTTCGTCAAAATCAAATCAAAATTGTTTGACGTTTTGGTATAAGTCTGCTTTCAAATACAACTGTCCAGCCCACAGTGGTTCTATGATATTCTGGAACTAAGCGGTGCCCATACCGTATTCTGCTGCTAATAACGTTTCAAATGCCTGTGCTCCCCT